CATATCCTCCAGTGCACTCAAACTCAGACTTTCCACCAGCACTCCATCGACGACCTGTACACGACTGCTAGTAACCCACCGGGTCACGTCTACCACTCCGACAAGCTCGACTTTTATGTGAAGGACCTGCGGCCGAACCGGTAGGAGTCGGAATCTCGGCAGGAGAGCAATTCATCGCGCAAGCGCAAAGCAACTCATGAGCCATCGCGTAAGCGGTCCACGAGGAGAATATGGGAGGTCATTGAGAACGATTTCCCCTGATGGGGGATGGTTGGGCCAGGAGATTCAGCTTGGGCGAGATGATTGGCTGCTGCGGACGGAGAATGGACTGCGTGTCCGTCACTTTTGCTTGTTGCATGGCGAGGGCGTTCAACGGCTTGCGGCTGGACGCTCAGCGGGCGTCCGCTACTCAACTGGAATGATGGGAACGTCGGGACGGAACATTAGCACGTAGAACTCATCATGATATGGGAACTAATCGAAACCACTCACTGTGGATTTTGGTGAACCCTGATTTAAAGGTCTGTTGTTATCAAATTTCTGCGACGGATCGACGTCGGACTCTAGCCTTCCGATCTATGTGTTGTATTGGCTATGTGGAACACTTCATTGCCCGTGCTCTGAAGCTCCCACCAACATTGCCATATATATCTAAATCAAGTCAGCGGCGTCTGCTTCCGTGAAGATCGAACAGCAATTAAGGGCTCGGGGATTTGACTGTGAGCCGTTGACTTTATTCTGTGACATCAAGCTTATCAATAGAGAGCTCACGTCAGGAAGTCTAAATTGCGGGCATAGCTAGCAATGATCACAGGCGAATAAGAGAGGTATACCTGGGAATCGAGGATGAGAGAGGAGGGGTGTACTAATCGTCTTACACATCAAATACTCCGGAGGCATCGTGCGCGGAGGCGTCTGCGGTAGATTCAGGTGACCAAGATAGGCGAGGAAGCTAGCGTCGTCTCTCGGCGTCCATTTCTTCGTGTCTTGCCGAACGACTCTCTGCTAGGCGATACTTTTATACCAGAGTTTGGCCATTGAGGCGGTGAGAGCAAACGCCGCATCTAGGGTATGAGGGCTTGATGACGTATAAAACAGACGTATAAGTAATGTAGTAAGGTCGTCAATAATTTTGTCTGCGTCCATACTTGACGGAAATTCAGTAGGCGTTGTGCAGCTTTACGGATTGCAGACAGGTCTTCACAGACTGAAGGTATGGTTTCCTCGCAATGGTGTCAGTAATTCTTGGAATCAACACTGGAGGGAATATGCAGGGGGTAGTTAAGGACTACAGGAATGAGAGTCCCCGAAGTTCATCCAGGTATATCAGGACCTCTCCGGGCGGCTGAGTAACCAACCACCTGGCTGGCCAACCTTCTTGTTGCCTGACAAATGCCGCCCGACAGTGAAGTAGAATTTGGCACAGAACCCAGAGAACCTAGCGATTTGAAGAATTGAAGACACGTGCGCGGCATGGATGGACTTATGTACTTGTCGCCCAGGGCTTTTAGACATATGTAAACACTGAGACTACCCCGGAGCACATTTTGCGATGAACACAGTACCAATGTCGTGAAAGGCAAAGCAGTGGTATATAACCCACATCCGATCGATGTAAAATCATCTTAAAACAGCAATTTGGCCATATAGACTCCCTTACCAATATGAGTGTTGAACATTGGGATGTCCTTGGGGGACATGTACCTGCATTCAATCGATGGTCTTTTGCTCGACCATCTTGATAGGGTTTATTGAAAGCTATCTTCCATCATAAAACCAACGGCTTCAAACAAGACACGAATAACAGGGCTAGGATTAACTAAGAAAAGGGAAGAAAGACAGGAGAGCTGGATGGAGTTATGGTGACTTTTCGCAGCCCCATCCCAGTGTATGCAGACCAGGCTGACCTTCGCGTGGTAATCATTCAGAGAGGAATGATTCAACCGCGAAGCTAACAGTCTAATTGCGTATCCCAAAGAACCTAGTTCTGACCATCGTTTCAAAAGTTGGCCCTTCTGACTGATACCGATCTTGGCTCGGTGGACAGAGAGCTCGTTTCCTCGGATGTTTGTGCAGCGCTCGGCTCGAAGACGTGGCTCTGGTGAGGAGAATGTCGATTAACTGGAGAGGCTTCCTCTTGATCCGATTCTTGACCAAGAGGTGGGACTTGCTTAGATGATGGTTGTTGCGGTATCAAGTCTTGCTGAGAAGTTAGGTCCTGTTGAGATATCATGGTTTGCTGACCCTCCAAGTCGGCGGTTGACAAATGAAGTGAAGTCGTTGGATCTGCGAGATGTGCTGGATCTGTTGAAGGCGGTGTCCCTTCATCATCTGCATCAGGTGGGAGAAGGTTGTACTTGGCAAACGCTGGGATGATAAGTGTATAGGCCTCTTCGACATCTTGTGCCAACTTAGCATTAACGACTTCCGTGCGACTGATTTGAAAACAGAGTTCTCGCATCTCTTGACACCATGTCTTCTTCTACTCTCTGTGATAACAGTATCTCCATTGACCTTCTCGGTTTGCGAAGCCAGCCCAAGTATGAATAGAGAAAATATCTCTTGGGCATACTGAAGAGTCTTTGACGTTCCAGAATGTTCTGGGATGTAAAGCTCCTCAAAGCAGTCTGATGACGAAATTTCGGTATCAAGTCTAGAACGAACATGGGTTGGTAACATTAGTATTAAACACTTAGGTATCATAGAAATACGTACTCTGAAGCTGATGAAAGAAACATGCCAAGGAACGCGCTGGCATTTTCCATGGTCCTCATTTCCGTCAAGATTCTCAAATCTTGCCGTACCTCAGCTCCTAAATTCCGTCGCCATCTCCACAACTTATAAAGCCTGGTCAAACGCTTCCAAAACTCAGTACTGCTCGTAATGAATGACATCATGAGCTCCAAGCCTTGTGTAATCACAGCGAGTGGAAATTCTTTCCTCAGTGTCGCATCAAACGCAGACAATAAGCCTTCCGGTTCCAGGGGAGAGTCACTGTTCTCTTCTCTGTTCGTTCTGCCCTGAAGAAACGCAGATAATAAGCCTTCCAGTTCCAGTGCAGAGTCACTGTTCTCTTCTATGTTCGTCCTGCCCTGAAGACTTTGATTTCGCGCCGCAGTCAAGTCAAACTGAAGCACAGGTTGATCCAGCCACTTTGACAGAATATTCGAATATTGTGATAGTTCATCCATCTTCTTTCCATAACCAACAATCCGTTTGAAACGCTTATTCTGGTATGGATGCCCCAAGATTCCTAACGAGTTGGTTGGATTTGTTACACGGCTCTTGCGGAACGCGTCACTATAAGTAGATAAAGATAGTGCGGCCTCGAAGTGGGCGCGATTCTGTTCAAGATTGGAGTACCGATTTCCTGACTTCTGAAGCTGGAAGAAGAATCTTTTGTCTGTTCTCGTCGTGTGGTCATACTTTTCAACGTCACATTCGGTGACGTTTAAATCCCAGACAAGGGTGTGTGATTCCGCATGGATACCGGAATTGATATTGATTCCCAGGAACTGTGGCTTCCAAGTGATAGAGGACTTTCTGCGAAAAAGTTCCATGGATCTTTCTATGGCAGAACACAGTGCCTTCGAAGCCTCTACGACCTCGTCCGCAGTCTTGGTCCGGGAAAAGTGCTGGGAGATGTATGAAAAGAAGTTTACCGAAAAGCAGTTTAATGGATCCACAGCCTGTGCGGTTGTATTGTCAGAGCTAACTGCAACCGAATTCAATAACCACTTCAGATTGAGGCTCAGAGGTCCACGAATTCGACTGAAAAACTGATTGTTGACAAAAGTTGGATCTGGGCGCTGCTCAGATTCTTGAGAACTGGGGCTTGTATCGTTGGAACCCTCAGAATATTCAGAGATGAGTTCCCAGAAGAACTGATGCTGACTTATAGAGGAGTAGTGATCGCCACGGCGTTCAACGCTTGTAGCTAACGAGGAGGCTCGGGTTACTTTTCGATAGGCGCGCCGTATACAACCAAACACTCGTACGTAAAACATTGAAAAACGACGTCTACTTTTCTTCATCACATCAGAACCGGGGCTGGGCCCGATCCCAGACATGACTTGGAGCGTGGTCCATGCAAGGTCGTGGCCCTTTAAATCCAGCGCTGAAGTTGCGTTTGGCCCCGAGGCAAGCCCTCTTCTGACCCAAGCCCGGATGCTTGTCAAGATGAGTGTAACCCCAAGCTGGAAGATTGTGGCGGACCAATGAAGGGACCTCAGTCCCACGAACTGAGCGATGTATCCAAGAACCGACATGCCGGTGGCAAGAGCTGCTAAGAATCTAATTGAAGCTGTTCAGTACTTGCGTGATGACTGTGATTGGTCTGATTCCACTACCTGTAGTCCGTCTGATTCAACCGCGACAGCCTTATGGACTCGTCGTTCTTCGCCGGGAAAATAATGGCGTGAGGAAAAGCCTGATCCCCGAGAAGTTGCGCTTCCTGTAGACTGAAAAACCTCAGACCCCTTTCTGTTCCAGCTGAGGTGATAAAGAATTCGTGTTCCGTTGTGACGCCTTCGATGATGTGTCCACACAAGATTATACCCACTGTCAAAAGTCCTGTGCCAATAGCAAAGCACGGGTACCCGTATGGAGCCACGGGATTACCAGCCTTTTTGAATTTCCAGTGATAAGTTGAAACTCCGGCGAAGACAATGGCGCATACCTGAAGAAAATATCCCAGCCTAGCCCATAGCCACAACTCCTCGGACGACGTCGTGGCGTTCCGGCTATTAAGGGTCAAATTTGGCGCCAAGTTCGATATGCTTTCAAGCTTCGCTAAAGCAACACGAAGCCCGGAGGGTAGTGATGAGTTTTCCATCGGTGAGTGTCTAAGATTGCGGATCGTCTCGGTGTTCTCTCTCTTGCGCAGAAAACCAAGCCAAGGCGACAACTGAGTCTTTTCCATGATGTCAATGAGACCATCCAGGAAAGCATGCTCAAGGGTGAAAACCTCGCCATCGAGGGAAACCAGGAGATTCCTCATTTTACTTGGGTGCCCGACCAAGCGTATGACTTGCTGGCCGTTCCACATTTCGCAAACGCTTGTGGAGGTAGATGAGAGCAGTTCTTGTTCTGCGGTGGACTGGCTTTCTCGTGCTCTGAGAAGAGTATCAGCTCATGATTACACGGAAAGCCTCAGCTAGTGCTTACCGCCCGATAAGGGCTTTGAGCTTCCGTCCTCCGCCAACGCGTACAGCGCTGACAATGATGGTAATAATTCCAAGCGGTCCCATAGCTAGAAGAACATCATCGGTCCATCCCATGCTCATGCTGACGAATTGCTTGGTTACCTGCTCCCCAAATAACGTGAGAAGAGGTGCAAGATCGCTAAATAAATTATTTGAGAATTCGTCGCCTTCAAAGTCTTTGGTCGGAGCCATTTTGATGGCAAGCTGGTGACAAAGTTGTAAACCGACATAGGCAGGCGGTGGAGGGAGTGTTGTCCGTTTCATTTCCTCCTTCAAGGCGAGCCTGATTATAAGGTAAGCGAGAAAATGGCGCTAGATCATGAAACTTCTGATGTTGACTAGCTGAATGAGTGAGGCGTTGCACATGGTCGCACGCGAGGTCTTTCACCGAGTCACTTCACCAATGGGAGTCGCAGGCACTCAGCCCTAGCTGCAGCCCCATCATCGTGGACCATTCCTGTTGGATAGCCATCTCAGCCGTCGGGAAACCGAATGAGACGTGTAGCACAAAGGAACATGCTTTCAGGATTCCTGGGTACCAGACCTTGGACGCTGAGCCCCCAGCGAAACTACCGGAGCGTAGCTCTCCTACCTACCCTCTTAACTGCCCTCCTAACTGCCCTCCTAACTGCCCTGCTAACTGCCCTCCTAACTACTGGGGCTCCTATAGGTAGCTGCTAGCACCTAGTATACACAGTAGTGAGCCACACTTCGGAAGCGAACCAATCCGCAAAGGAGAAATTATAGCTTAGCTAATTAGAGGGCTCAGATCGAAGTGCCTATACACCGTTTTCGCGCCCAAGCTTTAGTAGTTAAGCTATATGTAACTCCCTCGCTCCGCTCCGTTGGCTCCGCTTCGCTACGCCTCCGGAGCTACGCTCCGGAAAAAGTCTCCGGCAGCTGTGTAATCGATATCGGAGGAAGGGAGGGGTTGGGGCAATCATTCCCAGTCCTTCCAAAATCAATTTCAAGCCACTTCAACACCAAGGAATAATCCATCAGTTTTGAGAAGAATTCCGGTACATTACTAACTTCGCTCTTGATGCGTTTTGCAACCGAAAAGCGCCTTGATTGACGTGGGCTTCGAAGACCCTCAACCATAGTTGAAACTAGGTATTTCGTAGATTCTAAATTGAGATTGTTCGATATGTGTGGCGATCATGTGTCTAGGTCACGAAGCAGACAAGAGAATCCTAGCCTCCATTACTGAAGATGGCTAACAAACATCTGACACTTTCTAACCGTAGATTCAGCAGCGACCTGATGTCGTAGAAGGCGCTTCACTGTATTTGTTGGAAAAGTAAAATTTAACTCCGGTACCACAATGAACATCTGGATGGTCTATACGATTTGGCTCTCAGGTATGTTATGAATGCTGATCACTTGAAAGGCCTCGAAGAGTTGTGGCGAATTGTCTGGCTCATCCGACTATCAAACTTCTGGAGGGATGAAAGAGGGCACCGGAACGCGATGATATGTTGAAAACCACGGTTTCCTAGCTAGCTACCTGTTCATTTAACGCATGTCAAAGTGAAAAAGATTCAGCATAGTAATTGTGCCCTAAGGTACATCCAAGAACGTTGAATCACTCATGTTCATTGCTTATGAGAATGCGTGTATGTCAGGTGCCAGGGGAAACTCACAGTGTCCCACGCACACCATCCAGCCAGATCCGGAAATCCATCAAAGTTTCGAAAGGCGATCGATGCGACTCCCAAAAGCCAGAGCGTATCCTGCGTTGTCCATCCCATCGCTGTGTGGATTGGAAAAGTGTGGTGACCAAGGCCAGCTGAAGTCGCGTTCCAGACCATGACGTCACTACCGCGGCCCCCCAAGCCGTACACGTCTCCCTGCATGTGCCCTTCCTCAATTCTTCCTTAAAACCAACAACTTCTCGCAGAGAGATAATCGGCAGTTTTATATCCTATTTCAGCAACTTTGAGAACAAAACCACTTCGGAAACACCATCGAAGTTTGCGCGCAGCTCGAAACCAACCCCAACACCAATACTACCGACAACGAACCTCCTTGTCCAAAACCATGGCTTTCCCCACGAACGTCCTGGGCATCCTCATCGCCTTGATCAGCGGATTTGCACTCGTGCACTCGGCGGACTCGATTCCGAGACTTCTCAAGTACGAAGAGAAGGCGAAGAAGGCGGCTGAATGGAGTAGGACGGCAGAGAAGCAGCTGTGGGAAATCCGGTACACCGTTGGCACCGGCTTTGTGGGAGTACGTCGCCGCTGTCTGACCCTCATCGAGACATCGAAATTTCAAATTGGTTCGGAGCTAACATGTGCAAAAAGTGCCTGTTGTCAGGTCTCAGTGGCCTGGCCTTCTCACTCGTTGTGCCTCGCGGCGTGGGTGTATTTACCGTCGGCTGGCCCATTATGCTTGCCGCTGGTCTGACGTACGGACACCAGTACATGCGAAACTTCTGGATTTCCAAGCCCAAGGTTCCAATGATGACGGACTTCAACGAGGCCATCTCTGACTCGATGATGGTGCAGGATCTTCTGAATCCTTTGGCTGGAGCTTGGGGACTTGTGGCGTTTTGCAAGCTTGTGGGATTGTAAACAATTTGCCTTGTGCATCCTGGCATCACAACTGGCGAGGGAGTTGCAAAAACATGACTTGAGTACATAGTTCTTGATGCCACTCACAGGGTGGCAACCCTCTTCATGTAGACCCATTCATACTTTCCCCATGAGTCTGCGCTTCCTGTGATCTTCTCGTACCTCTCACCAGGCTTCTTACCCTCGGCGAAGACATCCAGGTTAGCCTCCAGTCTGCCGACCTCTCTAAAACCGTACTTCTCGTATGCCGGCACCCCACCCATCGAAGACTGAACCCAGCAGTAGATTCCCTCCTGATCTACCTTCTCCGTGCCCCAGCGTATGAGGCGTGACCCAATTCCTTTCCCTTGAAAGTCCGGATGGACTACGCAGCTGATCACATTTCGGCACCGGCAGCCTTCCGGTTGCACCCTGTTGACCCAGTATTGCATAGATTCGTTACCGAGATCTTCAAGATCCTTGATTGTCGGAGGCTTGGCCGGATCAATGGTATCGGCCGAGATAGCCTGCGGTTCTTCGGCGGGGCCGGTGAGGGGTAGGTCCGTATCCCCTGCGAAGCCCCTCCGAGCCCATCCAACCCATCCGACCGGCTTGCCCGAGATCTCGGCAACTAGGAGATCCACCTTCGGCGACTGTAGCCAACCTTTCAAACCCTCACCCATGCCATCTTTGAATGAAGAGTCGCCGTGAAAGACGGCTTTGAGTTGAGTATGTGAATCCGTCTGAAATGCCGCATCAGCGATGGCAGCGAGTGTATCCACATCATCGACTGTCGCATGACGGAGGTTGACGCCGGGACGGGGCGGAGTGACAGACGAGGGAGCCATGACTCTGATAACTTGGCGGTGATGGGGCTGAGAATGTGGCCGACTTGGCACGGGAACTGTTCCAGCTTTTCACGGTGAGATTTGATCGTATATGTAAGACGGTATCCGGTTAAAATCGCTTACTTTGACCGGGAACCGGCAGACCGGCCTGCATCGGCAGGAAGCCCGCTAGTCCCGACGCGGAGCTGACAGGGGAGAAATGCTGCTAATTCATCACCGGATGACTCCTCACCGGACTCTCACGATAACGGGCTATCCGAGGTTTAATCTCGCCAAATCTCTGGAATCCAGTGTTGCAGTTTTCAATGGATCTGACTCTGCCGTCATCGCGATGAGAATCTCCTCTAGACACATTCCAATTAAGAGAAAAGTGCCTCGTATGATAGTGAGATTCAAAGTATCTCGATGGAGTCTCAAGTTCCTAACGGCACCAGATACGATATAAATTCACAGGCAGTAATAGAAATGCACGAGAAAACCATGGGCATTGTAGTGTCTGAAGACACTCCATGAGAGTCTGAGACCACCTTCAACAACGGCCACATGAAGACGACGGAGGAATTTGCCGCAGAATAAACCGAGCAACAAAGCCACAGATACTGTAGATGTAACTTAAACTGTACAAATGGATGGTGACATGCTGGGAGGCGATATGGAGCAAATCGCTTATGAACCTCGCAGGACCAAGCAACCGAGCAGTCAGCCACCTGGTTGGTAAAGCTCCGCCATAAAGATTCTTTGGAACTCAAGACCCTAGTAGATATTGCAATATACTCACTACAAGTCAATAGCGAGGCCCTAAAATGAGCGCCGACTGTTGACGGAGTTCCTGCCTCATCGATCGTGAGGCAATACGAGGCGATTACATCATGCCACAACCAAACGTCAAATACAAGCTTCTAGACCAACGATGATGTCTTAAACCCGTATTCGTTCAACTGAGTTGCATTCTACAACTACAAGTGCGACGAGCTCGTGTAAGTGCGGGCGATCGTATCGCCGCCACGGCTATCGCCTGAGTCATCCAATAGGAGCCGATCCTGGCGATCGCCGAAGCTACGCCTGTCATTCGAGATCACGTTAGTGAGCCTTTTCAGTGGGGACATCCTTCAAGTGTCTGTCACAAAGTCAGGGGCCGCGAGTAGGAGCAATGTCACAGGCAAGTCCGACAGAGTCCGCCTCGGCTATTGTACGGGCCCACGACTGAGCGTCCGGGAATGTCTGTTTGCCATGGATGCTGGACGAGTATGATCGAGAATGCTTTGGAACTATCACGAATCTGGGAAAACACCACAAAAAGTGTTTCCTGTGTCAAAATACATCGCATTGTGAGTGCGTTAGTGCTCATTGCTTGTAGCAAATTCAAAGGCACCTGGGCATTTCCAGTCTCACAGATCACCTGCGCATATCCATAAGGGGCATCGAAAATTTCTTTCCTGCTTCATTTAATGCGCATAGGTCAATATGAAGCCTCCTGATTATCCTTTCTCCAGCTGTGTCGGTCGAAACCATTCCGATCCTCAAGCTGAAAAGTCTTGACACAGTGGCAATCACGAAAGTAGTAACGACTCTAAATAAAAGTCTTCGCCAGTCACCACGACGTCCACATACTAGTGCAAACATGATACTCCAGATGATGAAATTTTGAGGTATCGCGACTCATCGGTAACCGTTGCCGATTGCGCTCGGCCGTTCGTGATGAGGCGAACTAGTCCAGACGACAATGGCACGAAAATGAACACTGGCAGACATGCGGCCAGCGCTTCCTCCAGACCGTTTCTCGACGCTGCACGGGTCTTCGAGAAACTGCTTGAAGCCACGTTCGGCACCATATTCCGCAAGGAGCAAACTGAAGCAACGGAACATGCGACCCCTTTAGCAGCCTGAAAGCTTAAAGTGACAGTTTTCCTGCTGAACTGACGTAGAAATATGGACAATTACGCTGGCAATGCGGGTAATCTAAGGAAAAGATCTGCAATTAGGGGGGGAGAATCGCTGCCATGGCCCATCGGCTTCGTCCCGCGATCAATACGGGTACGAACACGCAGTCCAGCCAACAAGTTCTGTTCTACAACATTCGACGATGGCAGCCCAGCCTAACCCAGCCTATCGACCGTTACCTCTGCCGAACAAAGCTTGGACAACTCACTTTTGACTGCAGCGCAAGGCGAGGCCTCCCCAGTCGGAGCGACAATCCGAACAGCCTATTGGTCGTTATGCAGCACTCGGCGCGAGGGGGCATGACGTTAGTTTCTCATGAAATGCCCGTTGCGGTAAGACTCTCGCTGGTGCAGCAGGCCACCCCCCTGCAACTCTCCGACAACACAACAATATCGCTGCCGGCAAGATCTAGACCCTTGCCTGCGAAAGCCTCAATTGTCGGCAGGGACCGTTGGGCGACCGTTGTAGTCCAACAGCCTTCATCCCAGCGTTTCATCCCAATGCGCTGCTGTCGGGACGGTGAATGACGTACTGACAGGTGCCCCGATCGAAGGTTTCTCGATGCCCGTCGGAGGCATATTAAGGAGGAGCCGGGCCCAAGTCACAAAGCTTTGGGGAGGCAAGCTTCAATTCAAAGCTTTGGTGGCACATAACTCTACGGCCAAGGCTCCTGTCTAATGTTAGCTTAAAGACAAACGACTTCAACACCATCATCTCTCGCACGACTATCAACAACCTTTCAAAATGCTCGGAATCGGTGGTAGGATATCCGCCATCGTGCCAATTCTGGCTTCGGCTGTGGCCGTCGCTCTCTCAATTGTTCTTTTGGCTGCAGGAAACAGCACAAGTAGCGGCAACTCCAACTACTGGCTTTCGGTTAGTGTGTTCGGAACGTGAAGTACGAGATTCTAGCTAACCACGTGGATTCACAGCTGAACACATCCAAGATCGGTCAACAACTCATCACAGTGCAGGCGGCTAATACCTCGAATGGAAATGGAAATGGCGGCGGTGGTGGTGGCGGTGGTGGAGGTATTAGCATCCCGGGGCTTCCCACCCCTACCATTCCTGGTATCACCTCGCCGAGCGGCGGTGTTAACGATCCCACGGGCATTACTAGTGGCTTGAACGGCATTTTAGGGGGACTTCTCGGAAACTTGACCAATCAACTAGGAAGCGGCATTCAGGATGTTGAGGGGCAGCTGATGGGCAACCTGACGCAGGCGTTGGGTGTCAAGGACACCTACAACCTCTTCCTGACGAAGATGTGCGAGGGCGACTACGCCAACGAGAACGATCCCAACACCAAGACCAACATCAAGTCCTGCTTCAGTTATGATGACAAGGGACAAGGTAAGAACACTTTTAACACTGATGAGCATGATCATCGGCTAAGACAATGTCTAGGTCTTCGCAACATTACAGATTCAATTCCGTCTTCATTCGTCATTGCTACAGCCAACGTTTCAGTTCCTCTAATTTCGGCGATGAGAGGCACGATCGATCAGGTGGTATCACTTGCTAGCACGGGAGCGAAATTGTTGACGGCTCTGCTGGCTATTGGTACCGTCTGCACAGGAATCGTGTTACTTGCGACGCTGCCAATCATCATCGTTGGCTTTATGCGTGTGCTTGTTTTGACCTCCCTAGTCTTCTCGTTGCTGGGCGCTACAGTTCTACCACTCTTCGCCATCATCACGACCGGCATTGTCGTGGGTGGCAAGAAGATGCTCGAAAAGGAGGGCAGCGCTTTTGGCATCCAGATCAAGCAAGGAGGACCTTTCATTGCCATGGCCTGGGTTGCGGCTGTTGCATCGATGGCAGCGTCAACTTATTGGTTCATGATCTGGTTCGTCAGCTTCAGGCGAACGGCGTTCAGCCGCCGCAAGCGTACCGAGACTGAGATCGGAAACTGGAGGGGTATTTTCCGCGAGGTCAAGGGTGACTTGAAGACCTGGGAGGGTGGTGAGAAATAAGCTGGTTATGCGTCTACATCTACGATCATCAAATTTGCGCGGGTTTGAATAGCAAAGCGACTGTACATACGGGATCACTTGGTGGAAATATGGTTGAACAGCACATATTCGGTAGGGCTGATGATTATATACTTAGCACAGTCTTGGTAAATAGTAATTGTTAAATTTCGATGCATCACCGTTGTTACCGTTTTCTGCCGCACGCTCCCTGCAAAGCACATGCTGAATTTTATGTGGTCAACGGTCACACATGCTT